GCCATAGGCATCCTTTCCGATGAATTTAAGGAAATGAGTCTCAATCTTATCCTCTTTAACATATTTCCTTGTCGTGAACCAGATTTCAAATCTGTCCATGTACTTCTCGAAGGATTCAAAATTTAAATGTATATTTGACAGTACATTTACAGGTACCTTGGCAACCCCAATAAGATATTAGAATTAATATGCTAACTAGGAACTCCCGGAAGCGTCCGGTCCAAGTTAGATAGAACTCACTGAGCACAATTGTTTGTATTGTAGTTGGACTTGTATTAGGCGCGAAATAATGTACAAAGGAATCAGTAATTAGCACCAATACCACAATGACTCTTCTTCTTTAGCCTCAACGATAAATTCGGAGGATATTACCACAAATATTTAGAAAATGGTGATTGAAGTGTTATTGAAATACGTGCTCAACATGTTTAGGTGCACACTTTTCTCAAATATATGAAGATATAACATGGTGAGTGAACGGTTATCTTTGTCTGTAAGTACATTTGAAGTTGAGTCTATACAAGTGATAGTGGAATTACTGGAGCTCTTGTTAGTAAAAAATTTACCACTCCACAATCTGTTAACCTTTATATCCATCTTAAAACAATAGTAACTGATCATTTCAATTTTGAAATTATTACCATGTTTGGGCGACAAACAGGTTTAGAGAGTGAAAAGGGTGGTGTGTGAATATTAAATTCAAAGCATGGTTGTTTTCTTAAGAGTAACATGTTTTAAATGGAGTAGTTTTTTAAGGGTGTGAAGTTTATTTAACAATCCACCAATATTTACCCGTAACCTTTTCCCACCAATCAAAAGCCCTATTTTGGCCGGCCAATGAAATGCTTATAATCGGACCCATAAAAGTAGTGAATTTCGTTCGGTGATATCAGCTCTAGTCAGCGTTGTTCTTAGCCATGTCTACTCCAAATGAAGCCGATTCGGTTTTCAGGGAAATGTACGTTGTTGTAGGATAGAAGCGAAACTTCCGAGACAACTGAGAGCTTATGAGAATGTAGCTTTCTGCCATCTCGTTGCATGTGAGAGTCATCGAAATTCTTTAGTGGCTGTAAATCTGACTCCAGTTTGGTCGTATGAATGTTATTGAAATATATATGTCGCCTATTCTTTTATATACTTATCGACTTAGATCGCTTTAGTGAATAACGGAATTAAATAAGTCAAATACGAGAATAGATTTTCCAATACATATATTTTGTACAATTGTTGATCGGAACAGATAATCAGAGAGACGTAGCAAAACGACGCGCAGTGGAGAAGGCATGTGAGCCAACTCCATTCAGTCAAGCGTTAATAATTTTAGTCACAAAAATAAGCTACAGACATAAGATGAATAGAATAAGAAGTGTACACACACATGCGCTCATATAAAAACAGTCAAGTGACTCAAGTAGAATAAATAGATTGGCCTGTTCGAAAGCTAGAATAAGGTATATGGGCTTAACATAATAACCGACACTACAATCCAAATGATCTTTATGTAAAATTTATCTGCAAAAGGAAAGGGTGTACTCAGGAACCAACGTCTCAAGAGACACGATGATTTTTTCGAAGTAAATTTTTCATCCATAAGTATCAATACCAAGACTGGACTTGATAGTTTCATATAAAGTGAGCATTGTAAAGACGGTTAATAGTAAATATATTTTTGTTATATCTCAATGAGTAGAAAAACTGTATTTCTGAAGTTTCACGACTTAATGTAAACCACTTCTTCAGAGTAAATTTACTCTCATTGGAATATCACGAATATATATATATCCATAAGTATAGACAGCCTATTGGTAGTGGTTGTGAATCTTGGAAAGCTTTTATGCAGTATTAAGATGGTCAGTTTGTCATAATCACGAACTACTGCGTACCGCTTATGAGAAAGACCCTAGATTTTGTCGTTTGAGAGCCGAGCGGAATAATAAGATTGGTTCTTGACTGATGTCCATAGCTGTAGCCTTTGTTTTCATCAGTTTTGTGTATGAAAATTACGAGGAGAAGATGAGCGTCTATGATGTTCCCGACATGCGACGACGTTTATTCGAATGATAGAAACTCCCAGGTCGTTAGCTGCACATTTCATTGAGTTTGGAGGTACATTATGAAGTGAATAGTTGTCTGAAATGCTACTTATTTTCAACAGCAGATCAAAAAACGTCGTAAGTATTGATGGTACATACAAGTGCAACAAAGAGGAAATTTCTCTATACGAGATAATGGTATTAGGTGCCTCAATGAATGCAATGCCGGCAGCATTTGGATTTCTGGCCAGAGAAACTTCCGAGCTGATAGAAATAGCTATCCCATAACTTTTCTACTCAGTGTGCGTCACATACAGCGTAGAAAAAAATCAAGTATAACTGCCTAATAATAAGTATGAATTTCCACACCAATGACATTTAGATAATGTATTGTTTTATTTGCGATCAGTAAGTTTTCTAGACTTATTTAAGACTAAACATTTGACCTATATCAGACAGTAAATATAAGTTATTCTACTTCTAAGACAATCGCATTTGTTTCAATCCTCTGTTTGAAATGAGTTTTATGTCTTCATTTATCTGTCATTGACATCTCATTTCACCATTGAATTGAAACTAGTGACATTACATATTATTATATTACACGATTGATTTGGCATTGTAGCGAAATTCAAATTGTGTATTAGATTTATGGTGAAATTAATAATACCAAACAAGAGAATATTATATTCTATTATAGAGTTACTTACTTACTTACGCCTGTTACTCCTAATGGAGCACGTTCCAACCCATTCTGTCCTGGGCCTTCTTTTCTAGTTCCATCCAATTCTTGTTCATTCTTCTCATATCTATCTCCATTTCCCAACGTAATGTGTTCTTTGGTCTTCCTCTCCTCCCTCGACTTCGAGGATTCCATGTGAGGGCTTGTCTTGTGACGCAGTTGGGTGTTTTCTTCAATGTATGTCCTAACCACTTCCAGTGCTTCTTCCTGATTTCTCTCCTACAGTAGGTTGTTGCTAATAGTGTCCGGCCAACGGATCTGAAGTATTTTGCGTAGACAACTGTCAATAAACACCTGTATCTTCTGGATGATGGCTTTTGTAGTTTTCCAGGTTTCTGTCCCATACAGTAGAACTGTCTTAACATTTGTATTGAAAATTCTGACTTTGGTGTTGGTTGCCAATTGTTTTGAGTTCCAGATATTCTTCAGTTGTAAATACGCTGCTCTTGCTTTGTCGATCCGTGCCTTCACATCTTCATCAGATCCACCGTGTTCATCGATGATGCTGCCCAAATATGTAAAGATTCTTACATGTGCCAAATCTCTGTCAATTGTGATTGGATTGGTGCTCTATTTTAGAGTACACATGGTAAAATTATATGTAATTACGACTGTACATTGTCATTGTCCGAAAGAGCATTTTCTTTATTGAAACGTCGATATTTTTTTTTATCTCATTGAATTCATGAACCGATCAATGCTAGACAACCATTGAGAACCTAGAAGCACTGGATGGCTTTTTCGTCTTAGGATGGGACTCTTCAGCATAGAGGCTATTCACCATTACAATCTTATACTATACAATTTTAGCATTATTCATATTTCATATGTGCAACAGTTGATAAATGAACTGTTTGAAAATGTCGACTATTTTTATCTCATTTAGACGTCTGGTTACTCAGTTAACATTTGTCATATTCGAATTTATTCTTAGAGGGACAACTTGAAAATAACTACACATAACTGGAAAAATATAGTCTGGTGTATAAGTGATTGACGATAATAAAAATCAGTACGTTTTCCAATTTAAGTATTTATTTCACAATATCATTTATTGTAATCTTTATTTAAATATAGTGATTGATATCAGCATTTCATTAACTGTTTTATAATATAGAACAACATATATAAGCGGACAATATTGTTTTCGATTAGATCCTCATCAGGCTTTACTCTAATATACAGTAATATTTATATACATATACGAAATTTCAGTGATTAAGATCATGAGTCAGTTGAAGCTAGACCACCATGGAAAACCTGGAAGCACTGGACGGCCGTTTCGTCCTATTATGGGAGTCCTCAGGTTTTGATAAGAATAATAAAGGCACCTGTTATCACTTATTATGTAATCGTTTTCATTGTTATCATTGACTCATCATTTACCTTGATTGGTTTAATAATTTCGTATATGTATATAAATATTACTGTATATTAGAGTAAAGCCTGATGAGGATCTAATCGAAAACAATATTGTCCGCTTATATATGTTGTTCTAAATTTACAATATGGGAATATTTCAAATGTTTAATAATACTCATGAATAAGTCTGTGAATCCCTAAAACCTTTTTGTCATTAATTTATAAAATTACACCAAGTTACAGTTTTTAAGATTCAGATATTTTAATCATAGCCTTCGAGTTTAGGTAATAATGATTATAAAAATTGTATTTGAGATAATCACTTATCCAAATACATTCAAATGTTGTTAAGTCGAGTAAGACTATGAAATGTGATGAACCAAATTTATGAACTTTATTTAAAGTTTACATTCTCACCACCTCCCGTTTATATTATGTTTCATTTCCATAAACTATTAATCGTCCAACAAACTCTTCCGTTAAAAATCCATCACCTACAATTACCACAGATTCTTATCCTTGCTAATTGAAACAGATTAAATAAATGGGGCCAGAATAATTACAGATTGATACTAAAGTCGAAAAATCACCATCTTTATTAACCTGAAAAAAGATTCTCTACTGGACGTCTAGGTCTACGCTTTCGATTAGTCGGAGAGGAATAGGCGGAACGTAAGGAAGTGAGGTAAGAATCAAACAGTTTCATACTTTAAAATATAATCATCGCGCACTGCAAAATAGTTAAATTTCACAGATTGATGCTGTGACCACAAGATAAAATTTGATGAAATCATTATAGAAAGACAAGAATTTGATTTACACAAATTTAGTTAAGATACCAAATTCAAATCTTAACAAATTAATGGACAATGCAAACCTCTGTGGGTAAGCGGTATGAACAAAGATGTACGACACTGCTTCGCTATGGTGTGTTATAGAGTGCTACATTTACATCCAAAAATATCAAAGCTTCACAATGACAATTATTTGAAGAAACATTTTGTTACTACACTACTTAACCAATATAAATATACATCCAATTGTCAACATTAAACCATATATAATGAGAAAAGAAATCGAATTGTGACATATCTGAAACATTGAAGCCATTATTGTAAGTGAATATACCAAACAATTATGGTAATATAAATATAAATAATATATTTGTAATATCCTAATGAGTAGAAAAATTAGATTTTCTGACGTGTCATGATTCAGTATAAGCCACTTCTTGTGGCAATATATTTTACCACTAAATAAATTTCAATTTCTTTGTAACATGTGTGTAAAGCTAACCTAAATGATCGAGCATCTGAAAGATTTCGAAGTAACATATCGTAATTATTTCGTTTCTCCCCTAATCTTATGGTACGTAAAAGTGCATAACTTATAAATGAAACATCTAAAGTGTCAAATGATCTGTTTCATTTATAAATATTATAAATTAATCATTTAAAAGGAGTCAAATCATAAAACGTTTGTGAGAAAGTCTTAATTCACTTACTTTATAATCCACAAAGGCATTCTAAATTATATGTGAATATGAAGTATATTATTTATTGAATTCCGAACTACAGAAATAAGTATTTATGTGTCAGAATAGGGATTTGTGGATGTTGTAGTAATTTTAGTAGTTGAATTCATGGGTCGATCTAAGCTAGACAACTTTTAAAAACCTAGAACCACTGGATGGTCGTCTCGTCCTAATATGGGTCTATTCAGTACTGCACATCCACGAAAAGCCGTAAAAAGCGCAGTCCGATCCGTATCGAACGGAGACAGTAATTCATTTCCGAAGATGGATGAACAGTTGCGCAAGATCTTGGGTAAATTGAAGTTAGACATTAATACCGTTAGATGCCAACTCAGCGGTCTGGATGTTAAACAATGACTACGATAAAAATCAGTTCTATGAGATTCTGCAATCAATCATAGCGAAGTGCCTAGAAACGACCTGACCATCCTGATGGGAGATCTAGTCTCCAAAGTCGGAAGGGACAGCACCACAGGGAACCAGATTGATCATATTTGCATCAGTAGAAAATTCACAAGGTCAATGGAAGACGTGAAGACCAGTAGAAGATCTAGCATACCTTCAGATCACCACTAGCTGATGGTTGCCAAAATGAAACTGGAGCTAAAGAAGCAGTGGACAACTGGGAAAACAGCACTACAAAGGTTCAATACAATTTCATTTTGAGAAACCGAAAAACTCAGCCAATTCAAGATAACTCTCAACAAGAGGTTCCAAGCCTTACAAGATCTACTGAAAAAAGAATAAACTACTATAAACGATAATTGGAGGGGGATGAAGAAAGTACTAACTTCAACGTGTCAGGAAGTTCTAAGCCTCAAAAAGCACCGTCATAAGGAGTGGATCTCTATGGAAATCTTGGACAAGATTCAAGAAAGGAAGAACAAGAAGACAACATCATCGGAACAAGAACAGATAAAGTCAAGACACAAGCTAAATACATTGAAGCGAACAAGTAGACAGAGAAAAACATCAGAGATGACCAAACCTTGGTAATGATACCTGTAAATAGTGAGGTTTTCACGAGGTCAAAAGTAACGAAATTCTCCCGTGTAACATGAGCCTCTAAAACTAGTTCGGAATTTAGAACATTTAGATTAAGACAGTTACTTGTAATATGAAAAATGTTGACCTATTTAATTAAAATTTTTTTAGTAACAAATAAGATAAAATCAAAAATAAACAATAGATGATTTACTTACATGGTTTCATCATGTTTATTAGTATCACTGGATAAGGTCGACAAGAAAGTTAATAAATAAGAGGGGATAACATAACAATGAAAGAAAAGTTCACACGAATACATGATGCATAAAAGTCAAATTAAATAGAATGATTCCATAATGCCTGGAACTACGTAATCATACACAGTAGACGAGCCACTCACGTTTCAATGGGGTGTGTGTTGTTTATTCTATATAAATAAAGTGAGGAAATTTTTTTAAACCATATGAAGGATCTTTACCGGAACACTACTAGTTGAGTGAAAGCACATAGTAAGCTGTAGCCTAAACTGATAACATCGAACAGGGTTCGTCAAGGTTCTCCACTTTCCCCAATCCTATTCAAATTCATCATGGACATTCATTCAAAGACAAAACTGTCTTCGTCTCAGCATTCAAGGGTTGCTCTTTTTCTACGAAACTCATTTATTAGCTCTGAATGTATATATGACATAGTTTCAGTATTATTTACAACAGTTTAAGAACAGAGAATAGATGATTCACTCACTTCTTCACAGGGTGCTTATCAATCTCGCTGTATAAGAGAAACATGATAGATTACTTTGAGACAATCAGATGAAATCACAAATTGTTCGTACCACTTTCAGTGGAAGATAATTTTGTCTTTATTTTTTTGGGAGGGGAGTTTTTACTGCCTATATGTTCCCTTGAACTCTAGGTATAAAATATTGTTTAATTTTGAATTCATTTGGTGTTGTTTATTTGAATCTTCCCATTGATGTTTAGGACCGATCAGTTGATCAGCAACAAGTATATAAATGAATCAAAACTTCACCTCATCGCACAAGCTAGTGGCTATCAGGAATCAGTAGCTAAGTAGACAACGTGATGGCGTTTGAATCGAACGGTACTGGATTCGAGTCTCTGAGTGAACCTCAACTCTGGAATGCTGATACAGCCTGCTGACGATTCCTAAATAATATGATACGCCCGTCGTGTATCCCACTACTAGACACCATCTATGTTTGCTTCAATTCTAATGTTTTTTTTTTAAACACTGCTATCTCTTTCAAACAGATTTTATGATTTCCGATATCATGCAGAAGTTTTGTTTTTGTGGTTTCATTAACTATTACTATATATCTTTATGATAAAACAAATAAATAGAGTTCATGAGCCTTTTTGACATCTATATACCACCATCGATTGTCGAAATCCACCGACTCACTAGCCCAAATTAATACCCTGAAATTGGTAGAAACCTCTTCCCCATCATGTTTCTAGAAACGTCTCTTGCAGTGAATTGCCAATTTTATTGTTTAGCTGGAAACATAACAATGGAATATATGATCCTCTGGATGAATCAGATATAGGCCAAATAATAAATGAATGATGCTGACAGGAACACTGCATAGGCCGAGATTTCTCGAGAAATAAGCACAAGCTACATGTTGAAAATGTGGCTTGATTTTCAGAAAGACGTTTATTAATATTGATGAATAAGTTGTGTATATATTTTTGATTTGCTTAGTCAATAAAAGCTTCCAAATCTCTCTTGGTTTTCTCCCTCAGTTAGTTGATATGTGCACACTTATAGTAAGCGTACGTATCAGTATAAGAATTAGACGACCTCGGATCATTACATGTGACCCCAGACAATCTAGTGTCGGATGAAAATAGCAGTACATAAAGCGGAAAACTGTATAGAATATTTCATAAAGAGATTATTTGAATAAATTATAGTTTGGAGTCGTAACTGAACAGAACATAACTGTTTTTTATACACATCAGCTTCAATTTGTTGACTTAGAAATTCATGGTATAGTGAATTATTAACGATTTCGAAAAACGTGAGAACAGTTTTTCTACAAGATGGTTGCACACATACACTTTTATTAGAACAAAAGAACATAAAAACACTACATTTGTTAACAACATTTTGTTTAAGACAGATCTTACAACTTCTAAGCTGTTTATTGTAAGGTATTTACGATCATTGACATTGTAACTAAGTAACTACATGGCCTGCTTGAATATCTTGACTACCTGTTCTTGCCATCTACATATTTCAACAAGTTATCTCTCTTTTGTTTGTTTCAAAAGATCATTATGTCAATTAATTGCATAACCTATTGAGGTGCGTTTATGAAAAGTTCACAGCCTATCGCTGTACAAGTTAGGAAAGAGTGCAATCAGATACATCATGGTTGTTAGCAATATACATCGAAAAGAATGTACATTATTCAGATGTCAATTCGTGAACTGCTAACATCTAACTGGTGATCATTCAATATTTATCATCAGGATTGATCAAGAAATAAGAAATGGAAACTTTCTGAAATACATTGTGCTGAGATATCGATATTGAACCAAAAATATAATATTAAATAAACCTTATAATAATAATAATACACTGAACAAATTACAGACTAATTATTTATATAATGACCTTCAATTTTCATTTAAACAAATGTAATATTTAATTTAAATAATTTAAGAAAATCATTGTATTTTGTAAAACTATTTGTTTGAATAGAATTGTCCAGAAAAATATACAAATTTCAATTATAGCTTACATTCCCTTTAACTTTAAATATTTGCTAAATAATTAAAATAGAATTTAAACAAAACATTAAAGGTTCTTTGAATTTCAATGAAGTTTTATATATTTTAAGTTAATTAAATTGTTAAAACAGACCAAAAATACTTTGAATATAATAAACATCATATATATTTTCAATTAATTAAGTTTTATACTCGATAATATTGTGGTCTAATTTACTTATATCCACATAAGTAGTATATAACGGTTGTCAGTCATAGAATATATTTCAATAGATGATCGATAAGGAAAGAACCGAAACGGAACGCAATTGATATGAAAATGCGTGAACAATGAAATCTGAGACAATAAACTGATATTTGCGAAAGGAATAGTGAAGTTTGAGACGATGGATTGATATTTTTCAAACTAACTATTTACTGTATGGTTCTCAGATTTTATTGAGATGTTCTGTAATTTTGTGCTCAAATGCATTCAGTTGTCCCCATGAGTGTCCTGTTCACTACAATATGACGAAAATTGAACTATTGAACGAGAATTTTGCATGTTTTTATTGGTGATATAATTAATTATAATAGTTAAATATTAAAGAAATTCCAGTCAACGAAACGTACATTTATACTATAACTACTTAATTGATGAGTTTATAAATAACAATATTAACTATTTAAAATAAACTTAATCTATTTTAATTTATTTTTGTATTGGTTACTTGAATCTACCCATTGATGTTTAGAACCTCAATTGATCAGTTCCTTGTAAGCATATGTGTATTCTGTAAGGATTGTCTCTATATTGCTTTCAGTCACAAGCATTATAAGCTGAGATAATGGTGGCTAGCAGTGACATTCAGGATGCACGTTTCGTCCTATTTGAGACTCATCGGCTGGATATACATGTATCCCAGTGTTTTTCATTCCGGATTCAATTATTATTCACGATCATCTCATATTATAATGCTTGTGACTAAAGATAATATCGAGGCAATCCGCTCAGTATGCACATATGCCAATAAGAAACTGATCAATTTCAGTCCTAAACATCAATGAGAAGATTCAAATAAACAATACTAAGTGAATTTAAACTTCACTCCATTGCACAATCTGGATCCTGTAGCTAAGTGTGTAACACGATGGCGTTTGAACTGAACGGTACTGGATTCGAGTCCCTGTGTGGACATCAATTCTGAGGTGCAAGTATATCTAGCTGACGATGCGCGTCTTGTATCCCACTACTAGCCACCATCCATCTTTGCTTACTGTAGATTCTGTTTTGAAAATCATGATATTTATCGATATTTGATATACACTGATTAATGTTTATTATCTTCGTCTATAACCTCAAATGCTTCCACTTACTTTATAATATTACGTTCACTATATAAATCAATTTTGATAAGAATTAACAATATATTCAATAGAATAATAATGTATTTTGTAAAAACCATTTTCACTAAGAAATCACATTAATCTTAGTGACAAAAAGACTAAATAGCCAACTTGTCTAAATGGTAAATATGATGAATTGAAACTGAATGTTTGTACTTTATATTTTACTAATAAAATATGTAAATATCTTTTGTTTCATACTTATTGAAAATTATTCATTATTTTGACGTGTTATCATAGATTTTGTGTTTTAATAGTTATAGTGAATCAAGTGTCACCAGGCAAACCCTCACTTAGAGTCCTCAAGGCCAAAGGAGAAGAGGAAGACCAAAGGGCACATTACGCCAATAAGTGGAGACAGACATGAGAAAACTGAACAACAATTGGATAGAACTAGGAAAGAAGGCCAAAGACAGAGTGGGTTGGAGAATGCCAGTCGGCGGCCTATGCTCCACTGAGAATAACAGACATAGGTAAGTAAGTAAATCATGCAAGGAATGAACAAACAAATATGTTCTATAACAATGATTACCGGTCATTCTATTGTAATGTAAGTCAAACAGATACGCTATCGACAAGTCTCAAAATTAAATGGAAAAGCTATTCAGTGCTTCAATTCTTCTAATAGTCAATTAAATAATTCTATTACAGATATATTGTTACCGTCCTGTTTATCGGTTTTTTAACCTTAATAATTTACACAACTTTTATTTCTAACGGATTCCCTGCATATATACAGAGGAGCGAATTGATTAAATAGGTTGAATGCACAGGTAATACGATCTAAACTAATGTTCGTAAAAGTTAAGATTCATCTTAATTAGATCTGACGTTTACTTAACAAACGGGATCCAAATGGTTTAGTCATTACTTTTAGTGAGATTTCAGACTTCGATAAAGTGTTAAAGCGATTGTTTGTGAAATTCATAGAATAACATGACACTGACACATTTTCACTGGCAACCAACATGTTCAGGTACTAATATTTAACCTCACTGACATTAATATGAAAACTGAACAGTACATACTACTCAATCAAGTTTGTTACCAAACATCACATACATTAATTTATTGTACTGGTTATTCATAGAATAGTTGAATTTATTGTAAATACTACCAATTCATTTAAGCTCAGCTAACCAACCATTTCAACAATTAGGCATTCTGTACTATTAATCATTCCTTTGATTATGTTATTTCCGAACAATAATTAATTTTAACTTTTTTGGTTGTTCACAGCATGATTAATCAACACTAATTAATTATCATAGGTGATTTTATTTTGTTGTACTACAGATTTCACTCTGAACTCAGAATCAAATGAAAATGTGTTTTCAATATGAGTTTGGATTTACATAGGGCCCAACATTAATGATAAAAATGACAGAGAATATTAATAAATGAAAATAACTTGGAATTGATTCTGACTGTAGAAAGTTGAGAAATTATATGATTTGAAACGACTTTTTTATAAAATGTTCAACACATAAGAACATTCACTTTAACTGATCTTCAGGTCTAGAACAAAACAAAAAGTATTGTTTAATAGTTTAACAATGAGATAAAAATTATTGATTGTTTGTAGGCGAAATAATGAAATGTTTTGACATTTATAAACAAACAGAAATTGTCGAATTCATGAGTCGATTAAAGCTAAACCACCATGGAAAATCTGGAACCACTGGACAACTGTTTCATCCTAGTGTGGGCCTTTTCAGCAGTGCGCATCCACGATCCCGCATGTGAGACTCGAACACAGGACCTTTGGTCTCGCCCGCGAACGCCCAACCTCTAGACTAATGAGCCGGCATCCAACAGTGTTAATGTCTAACTTGAACCAATCTACGAAATCGAGCCATCCGGTACTTCCAAGTTTTTCATAGTGGTCTAGCTTTAGTCGACTCATTAATTCAACTATTAAATTACTACAATCTCCACAAAACCCCCTTTCTGAAAATAGAAACCTTTTTTCAATATTTAAGTATATTAACAATTAGTCAATCACATGGACTATATAAAGTGCCTTAAAATTTAGATGAACAGTTTAAAATAAGTCCTGAATAACAATGGAAATCTTGATATTCATGATGGATTCAATGATAGTTTAGTTCAGTGTATCATTGTTATATTTCAGAACTATTATTAAAATAGAACTGAACATTCTTATGGTAATTCAACAACCATTTTTCATCCGACTTTATAATACATAACGGGCATCATTGCATTAAAATGCACAAAATCTACCTAAAATTGAACGATAATTTGATAATGATCAAATTATGTTTGTTTAGTTCGTTTTAGTACTGATCAAAATTCGATAAACTATGATTGATTACATTGTTGATAGTCTTAAGAACACATTGTTAGCACGTGTCTACGTTATTTTCTTATAATTAAGAGATAGAAAGATTGATGAATTAACAATCAGAAACACTTGATGAAGTTTTTAACCACTTGTTTTTAGTCACTTATCTGACAATAAAGACACAAACATATTGTTGTAAAAGCCTACTTTATATGAACCGAATTGAAGATATTCTATATCTTGGTATTTACAGATAAAGTTGAATAGAGAAGATTACTTTGTTGTTTATGAATGGCTGATGTATAAGAGATGAGCGCATCTTATTTTTTAAACTGCAGTTATTTAATCTAGACAGTTGCCGAAAAATAAGTGCTTAATGGTCACTTATTGTTCAAGGGATTACAAATGTCTTTGAACATAATCATCTTAGACAAAGTACCAGCCAATGAATCTGTTAGCTATGTTATATATCTTTCATGCCTCTATCGATTGATAACACTATTTCAGCAACAAGCATAACATCAGTCATTGTTAACTAAATAACAATAAATAAGTTGATATAACTGTAGCAGCAGTGTATGAAGAAGAATAATAGTAATACGTCTGTAGCAATGTGATCTACTTGAGGCCTACATATCCTACGTTGATTTCGATGGGTATTGAACATTCGAACACCAAACTTACTTACTTACTTACTTACGCCTGTTACTCCCAATGAAGCATAGGCCGCCGACCAGCATTCTCCAACCCACTCTGTCCTGGGCCTTCTTTTCTATTTCCATCCAATTCTTGTTCATTTTTCTCATATCTATCTCCATTTCCCGGCGTAATGTATTCTTTGGTCTTCCTCTCCTCCTTCGGCCTTGAGGATTCCATGTGAGGGCTTGTCTTGTGACGCAGTTCGGTGCTTTTCTCAATGTGTGTCCTATCCACTTCCAGCGCTTCTTCATGATTTCTTCTTCCACTGAGATCTGATTTGTTCTCTCCCACAGTAGGTTGTTGCTAATGGTGTCCGGCCAACGGATCTGAAGTATTTTGCGTAGACAACTGTCAATAAACACCTGTATCTTTTGGACGATGGATTTCGTAGTTTTCCAGGTTTCCGCCCCATACAGTAGAACTGTCTTAACATTTGTATTGAAAATTCTGACTTTGGTGTTGGTTGCCAATTGTTTTGAGTTCCAGATATTCTTCAGTTGTAAATATGCTGCTCTTGCTTTGCCAATCCGTGCCTTCACATCTGCATCAGATCCACCATGTTCATCGATGATACTGCCCAAATATGTAAAGGCTTTTACATCTTCCAAAGCTTCTCCGTCAATTGTGATTGGATTGGTGCATGCTGTGTTGTATCGAAGAATCTTGCTTTTCCCTTTGTGTATATTGAGACCTATTGCTGCTGAGGCTGCAGCTACACTGGTTGTCTTCTCCTGAATTTGTTGTTGCATATGCGATAGAAGAGCCAGATCATCTGCGAAGTCTAGATCATCCAATTGCATCCTAGCTATCCACTGTATCCCGTGCTTCCCTTCAGATGTTGACGTCTTCATGATCCAGTCGATCACCAGGAGAAAGAGAAAGGGTGAGAGTAAGCAACCTTGCCTGACACCGGTCTTTACTTCGAACGACTTTGTCAACTGTCCTCCATGAACGATTTTGCAGTTTAATCCATCGTAGGAATTCCGTATGATATTGACTATGTTCTGAGTCACGCCGTAGTGTCGAAGAAGCTTCCATAGTGTTGTTCTGTCCATGCTATCAAATGCTTTTTCGTAGTCAATGAAGTTGATGAAGAGTGATGAATTCCATTCAATTGATTGTTCCACAATGATCCGTAGAGTTGCGATTTGGTCTGTGCACGATCTATCCTTACGGAATCCTGCCTGTTGGTCTCGAAGTTGGGCGTCTACGGAGTCCTTCATCCTGTTTAACAATACCCTGTTGAAGACTTTTCCTGGTATTGAAAGAAGAGTGATTCCCCTGTAGTTGTCACAGTTGCTGAGATCGCCTTTCTTTGGTATTTTGACTAGAAGTCCTTCTTTCCAGTCTTTTGGTACCTGTTCCTCATCCCAGATCTTTCTGAAGAGAGTTTCGAGTATCCTTGCAGTTGCCGCTACGTCTGCTTTCAGTGCCTCTGCTGGAATGCTGTCTAGTCCTGCTGCTTTGCCACTCTTGATTTGTCTGATAGCCATGCTGATTTCTTCAATTGTCGGTGCGCCAACATCAATTGGGAGGTCCGTGAGTGCTGCTTCGATGTTGGGTGGGTTCAGTGGGGCTGGTCGATTCAAGAGTTCTTTGAAGTGTTCTACCCACCTGTTTCGTTGTTCTTCAATGTTGGTGATTATCTTGCCTTCCTTGTTTTTCACTGGTCGTTCTGGTTTACGGTGATTTCCAGAGAGTTTCTTTGTTGTGTCATACAGTTGTCTCATGTTTCCTTCTCTGGCAGCCTTTTCCGCCGTCATTGCTAAATCTTCCACATATTTACGTTTGTCAGTTCTGATGCTCCTTTTCACTTGCTTGTTTACTTCTGTGTATTCAGCCTGTGCCTTGACTTTTTCTGCTCTTGCTCGACTGGTATTGATTGCTGCCTTCTTGTTCCTCCTTTCTTGAATCTTATCCGTGATCCAATCCTTGTGATGGTGCTTCTTTTGGCCTAGAACCTCATGACATGTTGAAGTGATTGCCTCTTTTATCTCTTTCCAGTTGCTCTCCATAGTAGTTTCTTCTCCATTGAGTAGATCATGAAAGGCTTGGAACTTATTGCTGAGGGTTATCTTGAATTTGTTGAGTTTGTCATTATCCCGTAGAAGAGCCGTATTAAATTTTTGTGATATTGTCCTCCCCGTTGTCCAGTGCCTCTTGAGTTTCAATTTCATCTTGGCGACCAGAAAGTGATGATCTGATGCTATATCAGCTCCTCTCTTTGTTCTCACGTCCTCCATCGTCCTCCTGAACTTTTTGTTGATGCAGATATGGTCGATTTGGTTCTGTGTGGTGTGATCCGGTGAAGTCCATGTGGTTTTGTGTGTGCGTTTATGTGGGAATATAGTCCCGCCTATGACCAGTTTATTGAAGGCACATAGATTTGCAAACCTCTCACCATTTTCGTTTCTTCCTCCGAGTCCGTGTCGTCTCATGATCTCTTCATATCCGGTGTTGTCGATTCCAACCTTGGCATTTAGGTCTCCCATCAGAATAGTCAGGTCCTTTGTTGGGCACTTCTCGACGATTGACTGCAGCCTATCGTAGAATTGATCTTTAGCGTCTTCATTGTAGTCGTTGGTAAACGCGTAGCATTGGATGACGTTCATTGTAATCCCCGTTTTCTTTGTTTTGAAGGAGGCTTTGATGATCCTTGGTCCATGAGATTTCCATCCTATAAGTGCATTTTGTGCCTGTTTGGACAGCATCAATGCAACTCCTTGTGTATGTGGGGCATTTTCTTCTTCATGTCCGGAGTATAACAGCAGCTCCCCTGAAGCTAGTCGTTGTTGTCCAACTTGCGTCCAATGTGTTTCACTGATCCCAAGCACCTCTAAATTGTATCTCCTCATTTCTGCAGCAATTTGGAAAACTCTCCCAGTCTCCCGCATTGTGCGAGCATTCCATGTACCTAAATAAATGGTTGCTCTGGTTGTCAGAAGGAGCATCGGCCTCGTGACTTTTGAAGAAACTCGGCTTTCATCATGAGGCGTCATAATTCTTCTAAACGAAGACCTCCTGACTCCCAGGGCAGAGTTTAAATGGTTTGAATAATTTTTTCTGGTTAGTGTTTTTTAGCGAGTTAGTTTTCTACGGGATGGGGTCGCTAACCCCATGCCCAACTCCCCTCCTTTATCCGGGCTTGGGACCGGCAGTAGCCCCCCGAAAAGGGACTCCAGGCGGAACACCAAACACTAGTAGCTTTCTAGACCTGTGTAAACTATATGAGATTTTTGTATAAATTATACACATTCCTAGAAACTGTTGACCTGGATATTTGTAAAGATTGAAATCTCTGAAAGACTAAGTGACGACACGCAAGATAATTCATGCTTTACAGAGAAGTCAATTTAAATAGTTCACATGAAAAATGTAGGCTTTAAATAATAACTACCTTTGAGCGCTTTCAATATTTTCAGTGTTAATATCTCAGTAAATGATTGAAAACTGGTAGTTCCGTGGATTCTGTTCAGGAAATTGTTGTATCTACTTCATATACTCATGGTCAGCGTACAATCAGTCGATTTCACGCTGTGTATAACACGTAAAGGTAAATCTTCAATTCAAGTAAAATATTTTCTAAGCTTAAGAAACTTAATAATCATAAATCAAAGTGAAACTCTAAACTGTTAAGATTCGACATCAATATGTCATTTTGAATACCAGGATACAATTAACCACTAATGTCTACTGGTTACTTACATTAAGCACAAAATAGATTTCATTTTATACAAAAAACCGATTCTGAGTACAACAAAAATCTTAATCAAAACTGTAGAATTAGAATCAATAGTGATTGGTAATCGAATGGTAAAAAACTTACAAATTTGTAGTAGCCGTAAACCCTAAGTTAAATCGAAACATAATATTGTTATCGTGAAGAAAACGTGTGGAAATGTCATTCAAATATATAGACACGGGAATTGCATTCACAGATTATTCTATAAGCTAAAGACACTAGGCTTCTCTTAACAAATCCTCAAAAATACCATATACATTTGTAATTTAATAGTTGAATTCATGAGTCCATTAAAGCTAGACCACCATGGAAAACCTGGAAACACTGGAAGATTGTTTCTCCCTAGTATGAGAATTCCGTAATTATTGATTGGATCAGCTTCTTCAAACCTTTGAGTCATTGATTTTGCAGCTTTAAAAATATAACAACTAACTTTTCTGTTTCAGTTATTTTTTAATTTAACGACTATAAATGTTAAGCGTTTGTAATCTTTTAGAAAAAGCATACACTCTAAAGCAATGGTAATATTAAAAAAACTTAAATAGAAATACTATAACCGTTGATATATTTCCTCCTTGTCTATTATTTAATGAAACAATAGGCAATTAAATGTAAACCAGTGTGATCAACATATGATAAATGGAGAAATTGTAGCAGCTAGATTAGTAGAAAACTTTAACAAATTGGAACTGATGGTAAATATTGAATTATAGGAAACATAAAATGGGCAAAGATGGATAGTGGCTGGTAGTGGAATCCAGGACGCGCATTTCGTCCTATTTGTGATTCGTCAGGTGGATGTACCTGCATCTCAAAGTTGATGTTCACTCCGGGACTCGGACCCAGTACCATTCGCTTCAAACTCCATCGCGTTATCCACTTAGCTACTGAGTCCTGATAGCCGCGTGCTTGTGTAATGGAGTGAAGTTCAAATTGACTTGGTATTTTTACTTGAATCTTCCCAGTGATGCAGGTACATCCAGCTGAGGAGTCCCAAATAGAACAAAAAGCGCGTCCAGGATTTCATTGCTAGCCACTATCCATCTTTGCTTATGATGCATGCAAATTAAGGCAATATCGAGGCAATACGCACAGTATACACATATACTAATAAGAGATTAATCAATTGCAGTCCCAAACATCAATGGGAAGATTCAAGTAAATAACAATACGAAGTGAATTAAACATAAAATACTTTTTGAATAGTTAGAATTTGAATCTCTGCTGTTACAGTACTACGTAATTAGTATTACGACGTTTTTACTGTACAGTAATTCACAGTAGTGAATGCAAAAATTTACTATTATTATTGCTGTTAAATATTCACGGACATTATCGAATTCATTGAACAATTGTCGATTCCTGACTAATATTCGCATCTTCTTAATGATGAATCTCATTTATTCATCAAAAGAATCGTAAATTTATAAGATCAACCTGTTCAGTTTAGGTCTTTCATGAAAATTCTGAACTCCATTTACGAGGGAATTGTCAGTGTATGCTACTCATCATACGATTAACAGGGATGACTAAAAATTCTAAGATTCAACCTGTTTTCAGTTATTGTTTAAATACTATACCAACATCGAGAAAAGTTTCCCAAGATACAACAAACATACAATGTTCTAATTAAAATTTACATATCACTATTGATCATCAGTTTGGAAAATCATTAATACCTACTTTTCAAATCTATATTTCCCAGTATAAATCATTCAGCTTAGTTACTACTTACCTTGTGAAATGATCAGACATATAGTACATAATATACCAGTAATGTACATATTCATATTGTTGAATTTCAACTTTCAACCTCAGTAATGGGTAATTCAAGAAATAAACGACTTTAATATGATTTTTTTAGAAATGATTGTGTACATTTAATAACATCAAATATATTGTTTTCTTTTGTTTTTCTAAGCAAATAAATGCTGAAAACATATGTACCTGTAATACTATCACTAATGAAATTGGAACCAAATGAAAAGAAAAGTAGTATTAATATTAATATTGACAAAAGTTACACGTTTACATTACTGAGGGAGAAAAGAAAAGTACTAAGTAAACAAAAGTAATAAACAAAACAAAACAAAACACAACAAGCACAAACGTTTACAAATAGGATGATGAAATTATAAAAATGGTATTTGGTAAATGGATTAAATAATCCTGTTCACATTCCAACTAAGTACATGAAATACGATTACGAAATCAATAGAAACAGATTAGAAGTACTTTTAAAGATTAAATTTAGACATCATTAAATTGTTGCATAAATAGTAGTAAATGTTAGGTTGTTTAGTCATTAGTCCTGATGGACAACGCATGTACTATGTTGATACACTTAGACTAGTGTTCACAATGTAATTTAATTGAGTTAATTAGACCAGCGATAAGAGCTAAGCAACAATGACATTATTTGCAACTCAGTATAAAAATCAGAGTCCCACAGCTGATCAGACTCAGTTTCACTTCCATACAGGTTGAGTTTCCAACTGTGAAACTATATGCTGTGCTTTTGAAACACATAGGGATAATCAATTCTCACAAGATTGTGGATAAAACTTGATAAAGAATGCCGAATAGCAAAAAACTAATATCGGCCGATTGCTTACAATTATCTAACATTTAAACTTGTTAAATTACTAATTATAAGAGCGTTCAAAATAATTTGTCATGAGTTTTTGCCTGTACATAAAACATCACCATAAGGTCAAGAATATTTAGCTAAAAACAAAAACAGTGGTTACTTAATTTGCATGGAAATTACTTGATCAACAGCATCAAACGGTGCTAAACTAGCTGCAAAATCCTAGAGATAGGTGTTGATATTAAAAAAACACTTACTTTCCAGTGATATTAAGAAATAAGGCCATTTGGAAAGACGGAATCGATACTTAATTAATTTGAACCGATTAGCTTAAACATAAACTACAACCAAGTAGTAATTTGCTTTTTTACCTCCCTCTATATCTTGAATACATTATTACCCTCTGTCTTTGATGATGACATAACATCATTCTTCCTGTTTACGTATCAATACTTTATTTATTTACATAAATTTTAGAATCAGTAATTATCTAGTCTGTATAAAATTTTCAAAATCTCATTTTGTCTATTGATGTCGCTTCCAGTTTACCTGAAGTTAAGAAAAGCAAGACAACCACTGATACCCATAACTTGTTTAGTTCACTTCATTGCATGGTATTTAATACAGACATGTTAAATGAACATAATCGCATATTCATTTTGGAATATGAGCAAGTAACTGTCAAACCTATTACTTCAATTCTATTGGTTGTGTTCATTTATATAATTAGTTTGAATGTCCAAATATACATCTATCTATCTGTTAATAATCATATTCCTTTACTATGTTGATCTATAAATACTTGAGACATACTGGTGACTAATTAAGACTCTGAATAGTTTGTATACATTTACATGCAATGCAGGTTAGACTAGTCTAATGAGGTCCTAGATTTGTCACTAAAATACGATTGCTGGATATTGTATTGCCAGTGTTATTTGTTGATGTTTCTAAGTGCCAATGCCAATATATTACGATTCAACTATAAATAGGTTTAACTCGGATGATTATCCAATAATACTATTATTCCAATTAATTAACGTCCATTCAATCTAATTATACCATAACCGTTTATTGCCACTGTAATATGCCAATAAGTTCAGTTACTGGAATATATATTCAAGAACATATGCATTCTGGTTCTTAATTAATTCATTCAACATAGATTATAAAGATAACAAACATAACATACTATCAGAAAGATCAGAATCGCTTCTTTGACAAAATAAATTATATCAGTACACAGAAGCACTAGAAATGACAAGAAGCAACGCCTAAAAGACCTGAAAGTGACAGGGAAAAGAGCTGTAAGAGGAAAAAATACGAAGGAACTGGCAGGAAGATATAGTATATCAGAGAGACCGGTCAAAAACAATGAAGGCAAGATAACCACTGAGATCCAAGTTCAAAGGAACAGATGAGTGGAACAATTCCAGAAACCATTGAGTAGACCGGCTTCATTGAATCCACCGGACATCGAAGCAGTAAAAACAGACCTTCCTATAGATGTCACTCCACCAACAACTGAAGACGTCAGGATGGTCATCAGACAAACGAAGAGTGGGAAAGCAGATGGACCTGACAATATACCAGCTGATACACTGACGTGAGACATAGAAGTAATTGCAAATATGCTCAACATTCTATTCAGGAAGATTTAGGGGGGAGTAACAAGTGTCGATGAACTTGGAAAGTGGTTAACTCATTAAAATACCGAAGAAACGAGATCCGAGTAAATGTGAGAACCACAGAGCAATCACACTACTGTCAGTACCAGGGAAGGTTTTCAACAGAGTGTTGCTGAACCTGATGCAGGATTCAGTAGACGTCCATCTTCGAGATCAACAGGCTGGAGTTCGTAAGGATCGGTCGTGTACAGACCAAATCGCGACACTATGGATCATCGTTGAACAATCAGTTTAGTGGAACTCATCACTATACATCAACCTTGTTTGACTATGAGAAAGCAGTTGACAATCTGAATAGGAGAATATTATGGATTTCACTGATAGCCATTATCCTTCTTTGCTTAAAAAGGCTTGTGACTTAAGGCCATATAGAGGCAAACCTCACAGTATGCACATATGTCAACCTGAGACTGATGAATTGCAGTCCTAAATAACAATGGGAAGATACAAGTAAAACAACAAGTGCATTTTGCTGTACATGTGACAAAAATTTACAATCGGAGACATTGTGATGTCTGGCACTATGCATTGAAAAGAACGAATATTGTTCAGATGTCAACTTTTGAAATACTAATATTTCACTGGAGATCACTAAATATTTGTCGTCAATATCTATCAAGAAAAAAGAGACGGAAACTCGCTGGAATACCAAAAATTTAATGCTAAATAAAGCCACAAAAGAATAAGTTGATCCAAACAAAGTAAGCCAACTTTCAGTAACTAAAGGCATTACTTTCATTTTATTGTGGTATTCTGATTAGTTCGACGTCACATGCAACAATAAAAACCTAACATCTCTGAAGATCATTCGATACTGAATGCTATTCAAAAGTGATTTCAATGTTTCTTTGAGATAGCCCCACAAATTTCAATTTCAAGTGAAGGCACTTATAAACTGTCTAGATAGTAATAAAACCGTTCGATGTGCTAACGCTAACGGCACCTATATGATCAACAGGGTAGTGTGAATTATTGTGTAGATGTTGTGTTACCTATCTAATTGATATGAGATATACGAACTAAAGCTTAAGATAACTGAGGATGAAAATATTGTAAGCACCTACACTCGTTAGCAAAATCAGTTTACCTCCCTGTATTTCTGCAAACATAGTTCAAAGAAACAGCAAGAATTCGGCAATTAGTTTCCGTTGCATAAAATTTTCAACACAATATGTGAAGGTGTTTCAAAGTTGTTATAAATTATAGCCATACAGTTGATGTGACTGTTATTCTTAAAAGTAAGCAATTGTCTGGATAAACTGAGATAATACCTGATAACTGATGAACTAGTACTTGTAATAGGAATTAACAGTAAAAAGGCGTTGCTCTTGGAGTTGTAACTTTATTAGCCTAAGTTTTGTGACTTTAGATGGCATTCTACGTTCATATTTCAAGCTGGTTATTTGCCAACGGAGCTGCCGTAAATTGGAGAGCAGACTGAAACATTAATTCATATATTCATTCTAATGACATTGTAGTGACCTACTTTTGTCAACAGAACGCGATTGGTTCGATGAAAATAATTATTATTATAACCAATTGTACCAGTGACTGTTTTACTGTGCTCGTTTGTTTAACGGTGCTAATAACAGCCATATTGGTCTTCCATTGAACTCCATTACTTCTGCACGCTTTCTGACTCTCTACGCACGTCCTTCTTCCTGCCGAGTCTGCTTGTACCGTTTTGGCACGATCTTAGTATTCGTTCAATACCACGAGATCGCCAACAAATAAACTTGGTTACGATGTACTATCGCCTTCTGATTTACTTGGTACGCGCTCGATTTGTAGTGGTGCTCATAGTCAAGCTCAAATCGACACCACGCTACAAACTAATGAACATATTAAAAGAAAACCGAGTTCCTGTTTAATTGCTGAAAGATCTGACCAAATAGCTGTTCACTTTCCCCAGCAATTTGGCGAAAAGGCATTTTGATAGCGTTTAGAGTAGGCCAGCACCACTCATTCAATCACGCCGCATATTATGCAGAAGATTCTGTAATTGCCTATCGAATGAAGAGTACCACAAACAAATCCATTTTCATGTGAATCCCTTCGCCGTCTCCTATTTCAAAATGCAATGCATCAATCACATTCACAATTATCAGACCATATCAGGGTACCCTTTCAATCTGGTATTGTGTCAAAATTATGTCTTCTGGACAGAACATTTTCGACACCACTTACTGGAGTTACAAGTACATACGTCATACCAAGTGCAACCAGCTCAGAAATATTTAATTGCACACATAATTTTGGTGAATGCCGACTATGTATTGCTTACGTCACTGGTGTCAATATTTTTATGTAATGTATCCACTATATCTCCACAGTGGGAGGCTGTTGCAATGTGAAATCAGTTTTTTTTTAGCAGACATCCTTTGGCATAACGAATCCCATACTGTAGTTACGTATGGGCAGACACAGTTATCTTGTAGCTTTCTCATAACCTCAAACTAGTGTTTAAAAACGATAGGTCAGCATAACAGTCACCATGATTTTCTTTACGCTGGGGAAGAGTGCAATAAACAGATTTTGTTTGCGCTTAGGAAACATATGCTTTTCTGACTGGTTGAGATTCCTT